TACGACGGAGCGGACACCCTTGGACTTCTACCGATGGGCGAGGCAGGTCGAAGACCTGCTCCACGTCGGCTATATGAACGAGCAGCACCAGCCGGACGACGAGGTGAGCATGATGGACAGATACAGAAATGGAAGGCGACGTATCAGGGACTCAAGGACACCACGAAGGGAACCTCGCGAGACTCGTCGCGAGACGGTATGTGTCACGACGGAAACCCGCCGACTGGTTGGGCGACGGCCAGCCAGCAGTGGCTCGGGTGGACCTGGGGCGGGACGGGACAGCGAGCGAGCCGCGGAAGCAGGAAGGGACCGGCCTGCCCGGGTTGCTCGTGTTGAGGCTCGTCGTGACAATGGGACCAGCATGGAGGAGCGCGCTTCTGGCAGCGGAGACGCGCCCCAACGAGGAACAGGGCCCAGAAGAATTGGCGGCTTCAACCTTCCGGACCCCCAGCAGCAGATGACCCAGAATGAGGCCGTGACGATGTGGAAGTACTTGCTTTTCGACAGGTGGGCTTTTGATCCGCCAGAAGAGGCAGGGGCGATCCCTACGACGTGGCTGCCCCGGGACACACTGAGGGATGTCAGCAGCCAGCTGGCCACCATGAGCCAGGCCAACATCCTGATGATGACGGTGAGCATGGTCACCATGGTCCGCTATCTTATGGCGGAGCTGTCCCAGCAGTTGGACATGGCTCAGGTTATCCTCAACACCGCCAATGGTGAGCCGGTGGTGGACTTGGACGAGGCGGATGAGGAGCCAGAGGAAACGGGGCTCATGCAGAGTTTCTTCGGCAGCCATGGCCAGGACACTCCGGCCCGTCGCTGGGCGAGAGCTCTTCTGAGGCTTCACAAAGAACTCGAGGGACAGCCCAAGGCCATGAGGTGTCGAAGCATTGCGGCCCTGCGAGCGGCTGCACCCCAAAACCTTGCACCCGCTGAGGAGGGGGCCATGGGGGGTGCTGTGTGCTTGGCACAACTGCAGGCCCTGCTCGTGGCTATATCGGAGGACTGTGTGGACATACAGGGGTCCTTGCCGGCGCCGATGACATGGCTCGCCCAATGGGCGGAGGAGATATCGGTCTTCGTGCCCGGGTTTCAGCTGCACCAGCCGCCCCAGGCGCTGGATACCCAGTTGGACGTAAGCGTGGAAGAACTGCTGGAGGATGAAGAGGAAGAGCGCCTTCGTCGGCTGGCTATGGAGCAACAGAGGGAGGATGAAGAAAGGCACCAGGCGGCTCAAGAGCATCTGCAAGATCAAGAGCTGGCTCACCTTATGGAGGAGGCTGGGGACTACCAGCAATGGGAACGAGACGTACAAGCTCGTGAACTGGACAAAGGGGTCGTATGTTCGCCTCCCCTCAAGCGGAGATGTTTGCTCACGGTGGAGGTTGCTAGCAGCAGCAGTGCGGGCCCGGTGCGCAGGGTTATGGACTATGAGATGCCCCTCAATGGTACTCCAGTGGCGATCACGCTGAAGGCAAGCATGGAGCAGTGCCCTTCGGATGTAACCACAGAGCCGGTCGCCGAGCCGGTGGTCCCTGCCGTTCCAGAGCTATCGGCAGTCTCGGGTGTGGGAGGAGCAGGTCCACTCGACAGCCTCAGGGTGGAGCGGCAGAGCCAGGTTGATCTGTTGGGGTTGATGGAGTTCGAGGAGTATGAAGGGCTTTATGACAAGTGGCGTAAAGGCGAACTGACCCAACAGGAAATTCAGGCTCAGCACGGAGATGCTGTGGTTGAGCTCATCCTCGCGCAGGAAGCAGTCAGGGACGCGCTCGATGGCAACAATTCCGAGGTCGAGCCGGACACCCTACAGCCTCCCCTGAGCGCGCATGAGGCCTCGGTGAAACCTGCTCCCGGGGGTGCCCGAGTCAAGTTTGCCGTCTTTGAATTGGCCTACGGCGAATGGAAGGCCAAGCGGCTTGGCGACAGTGAGGTGGCCATGGAGTACGGACCTACTTGGTTGGCACTCTTTCAACAATGGAGGCTGTGGGGCCTGGAATCTATTTGGGCTCTTCTCGAAAGGATTCTCGACGTGGAGGGCTCGGAGGACCCAGCCTCCAAGGCGGCCACGGCCGCTCGGCCTAGGGCCGTTGAGCCGATTCAGTTGCCGCTGCGAGTGCCATGGTTCTCGGTGCAAGCCCTTTTCCGGAGGTGGGATAATGAGGAGATCTCGTCTGAGGTGGTTCGCAGGGAGTACGGAGAAATCTGGCTACGGCTTCTGTGCAAAATGCGGTCGGAGCCTGTGCAACGCCTACGTGATGGTTGGAGTGCTCTTGTGGACTGGGAGGTGCCTGGAGATTCAGGGACACCGCTCCCTGCGCCTCCTGTGCGGCGGGCAGTTTCAGCCCTGTCCACGATGCCGGGAGGAGATGAAGGACGGCCAGGGATGCTACTGTCCGATGAGGGTGTATGGCGCCGCTTCACCATGGCAGAGTTCGAGGTGATCTACCTGGCCTGGCTTCGTGGCGATATTGACACGGAGTCTGTCCGGCGGCGACACGGGGTGGACTGGTTGGCCCTCTTTCTGCAGTGGAAGACCTTGGGGCGGGAAGCCATTTGGGGCTACATGCACCGTGTCGCCGATGTCGTCCCTGACTCTGCAGCAGCGATTCGGCCCATCCATGCACACCTCTTGGAGCCGGAGGAGATGCACCTGCCCCTCAAGGTTCCTTGGTCCACTGTAAAAGAGGTGCTGAGGGCTTGGATGGCCGGCGAGATTGGTGAGTCGCACCTGCGGGCCGCGTATGGCGAGGAGTGGGCCAGAGCACTCAGGCAAGTTCGTGCTGATGGGCTGGAGAGGCATTGGGACTCTCTGGGGGTCATGGTGGAATGGGACGTCCCGCCGGAGATGCCAGTGGTCTCGCGGATGGCTCGCCAGCATGCTGACAGTGAAGACAGGGAGGTGGACTAAGTCAAGACAGGGTCGTGAGTGGTGTAGTGCTCTAGCAGGCCTTCCACAATGTGGATTCTGACAAGCTGGGATTGGCGAGTCGGAAAAAGGTGTTCAAAAAAAAAAACCCTACAAATAATAAGCCCTAAGCCCCCTTTTTTTAACAATAGCAGCTTTCAAAGTGCCTGAACCCCATTTTGGGCCTTAAAACCCTACAAATATGCCTGAAGTTTCTTTTTTCAATACCTCCTTTCAGTGCCTGAAAGAAGGGCAGTGCCTCAAAGAGCACCTCGGGGCACAAGGCCGCCGGATACAGCTCCTCAGGGGGCGGCCCAAGCTTCCTCCAAAAATTGCTTTCCAGAGTTGTCTTTGGATCGGGGGGTTTACGGGTCTAGGGGTTTAAGGTTCAGGGGTTTAGGGTTTAGGGTTTTGGGTTTAGGGTTTTTGGGTTTTGGGGTTTTTGGTTTGGGGTTTAGGGGTTTGGGGTTTGGGGTCTTGGGCAGATGGCTTTGGGTTGATGGCTCGGGGCTGGGGTTTAGCATAGGGGATTCATCGAGGTTTCTTGGGAGCACAGGATCATGGAGTAGATGGCAGATCGCTTGGCTTTTCAAGGGTCGGGTGCAACGTGATGTTCCGTGGCTTTCGTATCGGTAGTCTGGGTGGTTAGTATGCACACAGATATGACGACGGCACCCTTTAATTCAAAATCCAAGCCCCAAGACACAGCGCAAACCCAAAGCCATAAACATTTGCCCCTGAAGCTTTACGTCCCTGCACCTTAAAGCCCTGAAACCCTAAACCTTGAACGTTCGTCATTAGGTTCAAGCTTCAGGGCTTCAAAGTATTTTTGCGCAGAAGGAGGGAAGATTGGCCTCCCCTGATTCCGGACCAACAGCTTCCTGCATGACCTCCCAGGCAAGTGGCAGAGCCCCTGGATCGTTTATATGTTAGCAGTATGGTTATCTTCAGAGCATGCAATACTATGCTACAAGATGCGCCACAAAAAAGGCGTAGTATGCTATGGCTTGCTAGCTGTTTGCTATGATGTGCTATGATATGCTGACGCTGCGGCTGCACGATTCGCTCCATCATTACCTCCAAGAGAGTGCTTAGAGGCTTATAAGTCGTAGTATCGCAGGCACCTCCTCGAAGTGAAAAGGCATTCAGCAGTCTTATTAGGTTTAGGGTTTAGGATTTTGGGTTTAGGGTTTAGGGTATTATTGGTTTGGGGGTTTAGGGTTTAGGTTTTTAGGGGTTTTAGGGGTTTAGGGTGATGGGGTTTAGGG